GCCTAATAAAGTGGGCGGTGAGTGTGTATATGTGTGTGTGTGTGTGTGTGTGTGTGTGTGTGTGTGTGTGTGTGTTATATATAGATATAGATATATATACACACACACACACACACACACACACACACACAGTATATATTTTTTATTTTTTCCGGAATTTTCAGGAAAGTCCACTTTCATCTCTGTATATGTGTGCGTTTGAACGCACCCTGTTTACTAATTAACTACTAGTTTTGCAGTTAGCAAACCTTGCATGAGTTGAGACGCTATGTATATATTCCAATATTTCCCCTTTGGTTCAAGTCACGATGTAAATACTGTACACAACATTGTGATTGTGTGTGCCACATCCAGTCTCTCGTTAGAACTAGGAGGGCACTGTCTTCCTATTGGGCAATGCTGAAGAACGACATTGGACGTGTCACACGTGGAAAGACAAACACAAGGTGTGAGTGTGAGCGCGGATGGCTGTTTGTCGATGTGTGCCCTGCGATTGGCTGTCAAGCAGTTCAGGATGTACCCCGCCTACTTCCGAAGATGGCTGGGATAGGCTCCAGTGCGCCCCATGACCCTTGTGAGGATAAGTGGATCAGAAAATGGATGGATGGATGGACAATTCTTCTGTTTGTTCTGCCTAACTGGCAATGCGATTCTTTTGAATACAGAAAAGGAATTTTCAGGATGCTGACTTTTCCAAAAACACAGAGAAAAGCAACTACCTGTGCCTTGAAAAATATAATGAGTTTTCTCTGTTTGTTGTTTTATTGTTTCTCTTAGTATCTTCTCCGGGGTCAATCTGGGAGCAAGCAGCCAGTTCAGCGACTTTCTGGATGGCCTTGGTCCGGCTCAGTTGGTGGGAAGGCAAACACTTGCGACACCTGCAATAGGTGAGATTGTGCACATGGTCACATCGTTTAGTTGCGTCCTTCGCTTTCAACTGCATGCAAATGGCATCAAGAGATGATGTTTGTGGATTGTTTGCTATGCCATACGTTATTCTAGCATTCCTTTGGTTTTATTCCAGCACTGGTTTTTAGGAGACTTTAGCCGGTGCATTTCGTACACATAATTTCATGTTCATCATTGAAATCCACTGCTCCCAACAAAACACAACTCCTTCGTATCTTAGCACCAACTTTCTTTGTTTTACAGGTGATATCCAGATAGGTATGATGGAAAAAAAGGGTCAGCTGGAGGTTGAAGTTATCAGAGCACGAGGTCTTGTACAAAAACCAGGATCGAAATCCCTCCCAGGTAAAAACTGTCCCCTGATTGAATTAATACAAGAGTTGAATCACGCTCTGCCTCCAAAGACATGACGATCTTTTACAATCTCAGTTTGGAGACGTGTGACAAAGCCTGGTACTTGACATTTTTACTTCGCTATTGAGAGCAACAACAGCAAGGGCACGTGACTGCGCATGAGCACTGGAAATTGAATAATACGCTCCGGTTCAAAAGTTTGTCCACGCACTTTTGCGCACACAAAGATTTAATCAAGTTGACTTCCACAATAATTGTGCTTCCAAGGGCCAACTTCAAAATAAAAGCCAAGAGAGGCTTTGATATCAATGGACAGTATTACTTGCTGTCGCCGATGGCTTAGTAGTGGTACACTCGCCGGACTTGAGGGCAGCGTGGGATCAGCTCCCACTCAGTGACTGTGTACATGTGGGTGTGAATGGTCATTTGTCTCTATATGCACCCTATGACTGTCTGGCGACCAGTTCAGGGTGTTGTCTGCCCTCCACCCGAAGTCAGCTGGGATAGGCTCCGACAACTCCCCTCGCAACCCTGTTCAGGATCAGCGCTGTTGAAAATGGATGGAAGGATATTACTTGCTTTGATTTTATTCTTAAGTTAACTTTCGCAGCGCGTCGCAAAGTAGGCTATGAACAACGGTTGTGGCGGCTGACCGGACAAGGGGCTACACTCGTGGGGAGACCGTCACAGGAGGGCCGCTGCTTCAACGGTCTGTCAAAATACATCCTGACGTGAAAGCACTCAATCATGCAAAAAAAAAAAAAAAAGAGAACTGTGTTAATTCAGCGAGCTGATCACAGGGTTCCATATTGCAAAGTCAGAGGAAGGCAATTCATTTTTGGAATGGGTCATGCAACTCAAATGTGTTAAATTGAATTTCTTTTTATAAAACAGTAGATTGTATTGTTTTAATAAGCTGCCATTGTGTAGCTCTGCTATAATGATGTAGTTGCGATTAGAAAAAAAAAAAAGCTTATTTAGTGATCTTAAAATGACACATCTACACTTATTAGTAACAAACCGTGCCCAGATGTGCCCTCAGTGTTTCAGCTAATCAATGATCTTGGTTGGTTGGGGAAAAAAAAAATGAGAACAACAAAAACTCTGGTGCTCATTTAAGAACCACGGCAATGTTTTTACGTGCACCGTTAAGAATATCTATGTCTCAAAAATCTTCGCTTTCAACTGGAGGGTTAAATGTTCAAATCCCACTTGGGGCACACACTGGTCAGAGAAATGTTTATTTATTTATTTTTAACTTCTGGTATCATTGTTTCATGTCATTAGCAAAAAGTGTCGGCCGCACGTGGCATTAGTGGTTAGTACATCTGTTCGTCATTTCTGAGATTTGGCGTCTTGGGGTTTGAAGTTCAGCTGAGGCCTACTTGTGTGGAGTGTGTATGTTCTCCCAGAGAACCTGCACGGGTTTCCTCTGGGTATGACAGCTTCCTCCCATGTGGTCGACCCTGCTTCTCACCCAAAGTCCTGTGGGGTACACCAAGCAATTTAGAAAAAGTAGGCAGAGGGATTTTCTTGGGTCCCTTTTAAACGAAAAAGTTTTGTTCTTCTCTTCTTTTTTTATGGGCAGAAATGTCATTTCAACATTCTTCACCATCTTAGCTGTTTACTTCCTTTAAGTCTTTTTTTTTGTTTGTTTTCTGTTTCGCCCCTGCCTTCAGCACCTTATGTCAAGGTCTACCTGTTGAATAATGGAGCATACGTAGCCAAAAAGAAAACCAAGATTGCACGGAAAACACTTGACCCACTGTACCAGCAAGCGCTGCTGTTTGAGGAAAGCCCACAGGGTAAAGTCTTACAGGTGAGTAGAAAAGATGGTTATTTCTCCTTTTCCTATGTTGAAAATACAAATCAGTTCAGCCGGCGGAAGTCGATCCGCCGAGCAAATGATTTTTTTACCTCCTTCAGGTGATCGTATGGGGGGACTACGGCCGCATGGACCATAAAAGCTTCATGGGAGTTGCACAAATCCTCCTGGAGGAACTGGACTTATCAAGCACAGTAATTGGTTGGTACAAGTTGTTCCCACCTTCCTCTTTGGTGGATCCGACTCTGGCTTCCCTCACACGGCGAGCTTCTCAGTCGTCACTTGACAGCTCCTCTGGACCGCCCGGGGTCCGATCCTAGTGGGCCAAAAGCTCTAGACCACTCTGCGAATGACTAACTCATGACCTGCATCGTAAGAAGTGAGACATGTAGAGCAACAACAATCAGAAAACACATCACGCAACAAGAAAGCTTTGTTGAGATCTGACAATCACTCCAATTGTGGTTCATTCCGTCTGTTCCGGGGGAGTACCGTATTTCAGTGTTCCATCACAATTTAGAGAAAGGTCTCCGTTTTTCCTTTGTGCACGCTGAAGATCGGGGGCTGTCTCCAGGCGACAGGCGGTAGCTTTCAAGTTGAGCTGATGAGGTGAATACGAGATGAATGCCAAGTGACAAACGAAGCAGGGTGGCTTTTAGTAAAGCAATGAAATGTACGTAAGCGTTGGAATGTATGAACTTGAGACAGAGGTCACCTGCCCCTCCCCCCACACCTGCGGGTCGTGAGTGTAGTGGAATCCTATCTGCAGGGGCCTCAGCTAGAACCCCATCAGACTGCCAGCACCTCTGCCCACGAGCAGGGGGCTTCCACATGGGTATTTAGTCTGGAAACACAGGGCCTTCTTCTGGTGCCTACACCCTGAAGCCGCGTCACTGGTCCTTCTCTCTCTCTCTCTCTCTGTCGAAAGGTCCTCTTTTCAAAATGTTTACCGTGGCTGCCCGAAAGCCATACTTGTCTTTGTGCATTTGCTTTGTTGTCTTTTTTTTTTCTCTCTTACTTTTGCACAAAATGATTTTAGAGTGTGTTTGATGCTCATGATATGTGTCAGTCCGGTGCGTGCATGGAGAGAAAATACACATGCGATTAAAAAAAAAAAAAAAAAAAAGGATATGGAACTATTTATTGTCTGCAAGTCTTGTGCAGGTATCGGGGACTGGTGATGAAGACACATCTTAGATTTTTAAACATGCGATTAAATGAAGTTGTCCTTGTAAAGATGTGTGTGTATTAGGCATCCCAGGAGGTTGACCAACAAACAAAAATTTGTGTTACGACTATTCAACGTCACAGAAATACATCATCACTCTAAAACATGAAAAGGGAAATCTTTTTTTTTTTTTCAACCAAAGGAAGACTTGGATATTAGTCAAATTACCCTCACCCGAGCATGTTTAAATATTTTTTTATTAAACCTTTACTTTATGTTTTGGGCGGAATTAAACACAAGCACAAGAGCTTGATTTTTTTACAACTAAAAGTTTAACTTTTTAAAAAAAGAAAACGTAGTTTTGAAAAGAGAAATAAAACTAAAACTCACACACTGGTTCTGTTCAGTTTGGTGTAGTTAGTAGAAAACAGAAAAGAGAAATTGCTCACACTTTTCATTGTGCAACACTGTTCATACGAAAGTCGCCCATCGGACTGATGAGTCAGGACAACATCAACTCATTTTCCATTTGACCTACTGACCCCTCTCACCTTGTAAGAAAGGGGCCTGTTTGACCTGCATGCAATGTTTTTTTTTTTTTTTGTAAAATCAGCTACATGAAAAAAAAAGATGCCGAACTAGACACGTGTGGGTTTTTTTTTTCCACTTACTATCGGGCCGCTTGTATGTTGCATGCAGTTGTACAGTTTGCTCGTAATTGAATATTCAAGAAGTAAAACCAAGAAACGGAAGCCATTCTCATCAAAAATGCATTGGAAATCCCAACTGCAAGTCTATGCCATGTCCGTCAGTCAGGTGCTGAACGTCTCTCAAACAGAATCGGAAGATTACGTTGACGTTGTTCCTCATACTCTCTAACAGATGTACTGTAGTTCCTGAGCAAGCAGACCTCACAACCCTTCCTGCTGTTATTCCACATCATTGTATACCTCCGAGGAGCTGGTGTATCAATAAACATGTACAGTGCAAATGCAAATCAGATCTACTTATATGGAACTATAACATAATGTTGTCAGCTAGGATATTATGACGTATAAAAGCAAAAAAAAAAGAAAAAGAAAATGCAGAACCAGTGATACACTGTAAATATTCAACAGACATTCAACTTGGGGCCAAGTCATTTCATGAGGATTTATTAATCTGCTGTTGGGGACCATGCAGTCATGCAGTGGGACAACTCAAGGTAATAGACTTGGGTTTGCCAAGTTTTAAACCATGAAAACAAACAAGTCTGTATGAGATGTCTCAATGATCACTTCAACTTTAAACACTGTATGAATCCCAGTCCAGTCCTGTCCAATTTTGAAACTTTTTTTTCTTCTCGCTGTCAGTATTAACAGGAAAACATTGATTGTTTACAACATATGTGTTCTACTGAAAGAAAATTGGAGAAAAAAAAGTCAGGCATTGATTGCATCATTCCTTGTTTGTATCACAGCTGTGGCTGAAATGATGTGTATGTTTTATATTTCAAAAGGTTAATTTTTATTATTTACAAATAAAAAGAATGTGTGGAAGAAAATGCTCGTCTGTTCATTTTTCTACCTTCACTGCAGTCTTGTGACGAGGCCAAAGTTGATTGGACAAGTTGCGAGGTCACCCTGGACAGACCGCGTTGTTAGCTAGCAATGCATGGATTCTAACATGTATTGAATACATATACCTTTCCAACACAATAACCAACATTGTTATTGGTTATTCCCAGAGATGGGCATTCTGTCCATGGGACAGAACGGTCTGTCTGTCCATCATTGGACGGATGCCCATTTTTGGGATGGAAGACGAGAAGTTTTTTAAAAAGGACGGATTAAGCAAGGACAGAAGTGGGTTTTAGTTCGTCCTTTTACTTGTCCTTTCCCAGGTTAAGTATGTGGTGTGGTAAGGCAAAATATCCAGGCCAGAGTGGAGCCAAATTTATTTAACAGGCTATTTCATCTGAACGGTATATTTACAGCAACACTACCACCTAGTGTACAGTTAGACAACATTAAGGTGCCTACAAACACCCATTACACGAACCATCAATCCAGCGGGTTAAGAAAGCTGACTGTGTTGTATGTCTCTCAGTACCCTCCCACCAAGGTGATGGCTAGGATTTCTAAAAGTAAAGTTATTATTATTTTATTTTATGATAGTAACCATTTTTGTGTTGTGAAATACTAGTTGCTCATCACTGAGACATTAAAAATATAAAGAAACAGTAATATAATTTTTGTTTGATTAATGGTCAGTCTTATCCGCAACAGCCAATCACGGGGTCATGCACGGACGCTTTTTTTTTCAGAGGCGGGTGCGGACTGGGATGGAAGTGCTTTAAAAGGATGAGGATGGAGTGGGACAGAGGACGATTATTATATGAATAAGGATGGAGGAACGATGACAGAAGGGTACACAGGTCGTGTGTGTTCATGCCCACAACGACGCAGACCTCCCTCTTAAATATACCAGGTTGCGTTTGTATGTGTATGTTCAGGTAGCACTTCCCAATACTGCCATTGAACCCGGAGCTATAGCAAAGGATGCAGTTTTTCTCCCCTCAGCATTTTTCTCCTGACAAGGGGTCGAGTGCAGGGTGGCAAGTGGTCTGCAGGTGTGGGGCTTTAAGTAGGCAGGGAGGTAAAATGAAAGCAATGATAGCAACGATTGATCTGTCATCGGAGAGTAAGACACAACAATATATGTGTATTCAAGGGAGATCTCAGCGATAAAATGCCATGGTTCTGTTTGAGGGCAAAATTGGAGGTCGTTTCCCCCCAGCGCCACAGCTGTTTGTTCATGCCATCATCATCACCTGCCGACTTAAGGACTGCCACGCCGACTGTTTGCTGTCATTGCTGTCATGCTGGTTGGATTCTTGTAGTGGTGTGTTTTAGTTCCTGGTGTTTTGTTGTGACTGAGTTTTTGGTCTCTTCAGGACTTTGTTGTTGCTTTCGATTGAGTTTTTTCCAGAATGCCCCTGTATCTGTTTTCATGAATACACTTAGTTCAGTAGTGCTTCTCCTGCCTTCCTGCTTTTGGGTCCTCTATCATGCATAAACATGACATAAAACGTAACTACGAACTTTTTGTAAAGTGTGGACAATCTGGTGATGGGTCCCAGAGTGTCTTAATCGTTGTTGGGAGATGGAACTCACCTCCCAACAACTCCAACACATCAAAGCTGCAAAAAACTTTCAAGCACAAAGGCACACACGCACACACACTGGTACACATACACACCTCAGGATGCTGAGGCAGCACACCTGACACTCAGAGGTATGTCCATTTTCATTTATTTGGAAGACATCCTTGTCAGCTCCTCGTGAATGAGCACCTTGTGCGTCTTATTAACTTCTTTACGAGACTCGCGGCGCATGGCCTGATCATTAACCCGCCTAAGTGCCTTTTTGGGGTTGCCCTCCATCCTTTCTGGGGCATCTCATCACCAAGGATTGGGGGCGCCCCTCTTCTGGTAAGGGTGGAAGCGATCTCTGCTTTTCCTGGTCCACCCACTGCTCGAGCGCCCTGGGGGTTTCTTGGGATGGTGACACTACCACCGTTTCATCCACCAGATGGCCTACGTCATGCAACTGTGCATGAGGCGCTTAAAAGCAAATCTTGCAACCAACCCATTCTGTGGGCAGCCGAAGTGGAGACCGCCTTCGACAATGCCAAAGTCGCCTTGTGGCCGTGCCACTATGTTGGGTCACCAGTCGCAGTTGCGACAAATGCCTCAGATCTGGCAGTTTGTGCGGTGCACTAACAGTATGTGGATGGAGCCTGGCAGCTACTGGCCTTTTTCAGTCACCTGCTGTCCCCCATCCATCCATCATCCATCCATCCATCCACTTTCCAATTCGCTTATCCTCACAAGGGTCGCGGGGGGTGCTGGAGCCTATCCCAGCCGTCTTGGGGCAGTAGGCAGGGGACACCCTGAACCGGTTGCCAGCCAGGGCACACAGAGACGAACAACCATTCTAATTCACAATCACACCTAAAGGCAATTTAGAGTGTTCAATCAGCCTGCCATGCATGTTTTTGGAATGTGGGAGGAAACCGGAGTACCCGGAGGAACCCCATGCAAACTCCACACAGGGAGGCCGGAGCTGGAATTGAACCCGGCACCTCTGCACTGTGAGGTCGACGCATTAACTACTGGACCACCGGGCCGCCTGCTGTACCCCAGAGAACGGAAATACAGCATATTTGACAAGGAGCTCCTCGTCCTCTCCCTGTTCAGGAAAGTTTTTGGCCTGTGTCTGCTTTTCTCCGGCACCGCACTAACATATTTTATCATCGTCTATACTCTTATCGATACCCATCCCTACCTACAACACACTAGGTTTTTTTATGCATACAGGCAAGGCTCAAAATAAGCAGAAAATGATTCTAGACAATAATCTACAATTTTTAGCTACGTATACACAATATAGATTTAAGAAATATAATCAGTTGATTATATTTAAAAAAGAAATCAGTTGTTTGTTTTTTATTTAAGGACATGTATTAAATAAAAATATCCTTGACCTGAATTTATGATTATTGTATAGAATTTTCACAAGGAGACTCATATACTGAAATATTCAGTCGCTGCAGTACTACATTCAACCACCCTTATATTGTCTTGTTTTTACTGTTTAATAAAACCATTGCTTCAGGTCCCTGGGATCAACCAGGAAAAAATGTTCCTTCATATTTGGAATTTGCTCCTCAAATTAAGTCTTTCATCAGCAAAATTGCTCCCTGAAAGTTAATTCTGCCTTGTATCCAAGTAAACACAAGCAAAAAAAAAAACCTCGACCAAAACAAAAAAAAAAAGAGTGTAGTCTTTCCTCTCACATGGCTCTTGAGTATTTAAAATTTAGACCCGTCGGTGATGCAATAATTGCCGTCAAAGGTACAGCAACATAATTCTAACTAATATTCTGACTAAGTGCTGATCATCCATGACATTCAAACCCTACAGTATGTTTGCCCCTATCTTCAGAGAGAGCCGCAATCAAGCATCACACATGGTCAGCCAAACCATTAGTAGGCACCATTATTATTGTGGAGTCTGCAGTGGTTAAGTGGATGGAAATAAAACGGACATATGGCTTGATGTTCATACTAATGTCAACTATTTGTATGAGATTAAGGTACTTAAACAGAATTCAGTCCGACTAAATCATGAGCCACTGCTGTAAAATGTGCTGTAAAATCCTTTATAGTACAGTACTGTTCCTTGAACGTGGCAAGGTGAGCCATTAACTAAATGCAATCGATAATACAATTGACCATAGCAAAAAAAAACAACAAAAACGAAAATTATAATGTGAATTAAAAAGTCTGTTAATATCAAGCTTTAAAAAAAAGCACTGAAATGAAGTGACAGTCTTTCAATTTGACACTACACGTACAGAGATTTCCATAACTGGACCTTATAAACACTGCAGTAACGTTCTAATCCAAAAGATGGCGCAGTTTTGTTATTTGTCGCACTCGTGCGTGCTTAGTTTGACTGGACAGAACATTCTCTCAAGCCTTCCCAGGTTAAAACGAAAAGTTAAGAACGCTCTGAAATGTGAGTGGGTTTGAATGAAATATGCCTGTGTGCCACTTCCTCTTTCTATTAATGCCACATATCGTTCACATGGAGCAAGACACTTCCACGCGTAATTACTCGAGTGGTTTCCTATTACGATGGAGATACTTGAACAATTAAACAGTCAGTATCGAACAGTTCAGACGGTGCGCCAGTGAGAGGGGAAGTTCAGAAAGTTGGGGTCATCATGAGTCAAACCAAAAGGAATCAACTCTTGCACATCATACAATGGCTACCCAAACACCAAACCCAATTTTGTGGGCTTGGCTCATTTAAATGTCAGCTTTGCTGCCATAGGGATGGTACCTTTGCCTCTGTTGTGATATTTGGGATTACATTAGCTCCATTCAATGTTTATCGCCTGTAAATTTATAATTACCTGTTCATGATGAATGGCTTTGCCTTATTTGATGAGGACAGCTGGTTAATCGAATAAGCGTAAATGAACATGATGTAATCGTCTGTCCTGGCCTGTGCATATTGTTTTTGCGTGCATCTGTTCTTTTGCTGCAATTTGACCCCAGGTTGTTTCAGCTAATATCTACACAACAGACTAGTGTCTTCTTCTTCTTCTTCTCCTTTCGGCACGTCCCTATTCAGGGGTCGCCACAGCGAGTCAGTAATTTCCATCCGCCCCTGTAAACCGTCCTACCAACTCGCATGGTCGTCTTGGCAAAAGTTCTACGCCGGATGCCATTCACTTGTATTTTTTGGGAAGGTGGGGCGCTAAAATGGTAATTTAAGTTGGAACAACTTTCACATATGATTTATTGACATTTACAGAAAAAAAAAATGCACACAACAAAGGAAGCCAGTTGTTTGCTCCCAAACTATTTGCTGAGTTGTTTTGTCTCGTCTTTAAGTTGGGGTCCAACATCAGGGAGAAAAAAACTGTAGTGTCAACTCTTTGTTTCTTTGGTGTGAATATAGGAAAGGCAATTTTCACAACAGCAAATGTTAAACTAGTTCAGGAGTGGCCAACCCGTGGCTCGCGAGCCGCATGTGGCTCTTTGGCTGGTTCCATGCGGCTCCTGGGTTTTCACACGACAATTGTCGAAAACGCCTCGGCGATGGCGCTGCCATTCAAACAACGGCGCTTAATACACATTTGTGTCTTAAGGTTTTATTTATGTTCAGGCGCTCCGGCTGTTGCTCATCATGGTGATTATGCATATGTGCACGAGTGAGTGTGTGTGTGTGTGTGTGTGTGTGTGTGTGTGTGTGTGTGTGTGTGTGTGTGTGTGTGTGGCTCTTTGCAGTAACACAGTAAAAAAATTGGCTCTTAGTCTCTGACTGGTTGCCCAGCCCTGAACTAGTTGAATATCCCAACTTCAAATTGAGTGCCTTGAAATATTGAGGTCACCAAACTTTATTATTTATTTGACAGTATAGTATTTAGGTAGGCAACACACAAACATTAAGTAACGGACACGGCAACATACAAACATTAAGTAATGGACACATGACCTTGGCTGGAAAAAAACGATCACTGATGCTTTATGATGACGCTTTATGGTGTTTTAGCTGTACAACAAGGAATAGTCCAGCCATGCATACGTTCATTTTCTGATCCGCTTATCCTCACAAGGGTCGCGGGGCGTGCTGGAGCCTATCTCAGCTGTCTTTGGGCAGTAGGCGGGGGACACCCTGAATTGGTTGCCAGCCAATCGCAGGGCACACAAAGAGAACTAGGGACAATTTAAGATAAGATAAGATAAGATAAGATAAGAAATGAAATCCTTTATTAGTCTCGCAATGGAGAGTTTTTATTTTAATTTAATTTAGAGTATTCCATTAGCCTGCCATGCATATTTTTGGAATGTGGGAGGACACAGGGCTACCTGGGGAAAACCCAGGCAGGCATGGGGAGAACACGCTAATTCCACACAGGAAGGCCGGCGCCAGGATTGAACCCTGCACCTCTGCACTGTGAGGCGGACGTGCTAACAAGGAATAGTAAGGCAACTATTTAGGTAGTCACACACAAGTATTAAGCAACTGACACATGATCCTGGGTTAAAAAAGGTGCACTGATGCATTATCACTACAATGTGCACAGGGTAGACTGCCCATGTCAAAATGTTAATTGCTTGTTTTTCATTTTTCAAGTCATCCCCATTACCCAAGATCAAATAACTCTTCAAAAATAACAAATGTTAGGTTTGCAAAGTGGAACGTAACAGAAGAGGTTAACCAAAAATCTCCTACATTACTAAAGATATTGAGTGAAAGGAGGATGCGCGAGTTTTGAGGCCTTTTTAACGAAATGCAATTTGAATGAATACAACCAAAATCCATTCCATTGTCCATGATGGTTTCCGCAGATGTTGAGTCTTCCTCCGTGGTTACTCTTCCAGGCAAGCAAGTGGAAAATTCATCAGGACCTCTGATACCTGATAGTCTTTGCATGGAAAAATGAAGAAGAAAAACGTCTTGTAATCTGGAGTTTTGGAAGGGAAAATCACTTTACACGAAAAGCACGTTTGAAGCCCCTGTCTTGAATTTATGCCTTTTTCCCCCCACCTAATGAGATTAAACTGCGGCGTTAATTCGGGTGTGCCTGGACGCGCATCTTCCAATCAGATACGAGCGCACAGAAAATTGGAGCGAGCGCAAAATCCACGCCAAAGTCCCTTCCTTGATTAGAGTTAACGCATACGCACTGTGAGGATGTGAGTGGTGATTTTATGACTTTGGTCAGGCTCGGCAATATGCGCGTCGGTGGCGGCGCCCTGCTGCGGAGAGGTTGGAGCTCGACTTGCTCGAGGAAAGAGAGGAGGGCGGTCAGCAAAGCGTGACGGCAAACGCGATCTTCTCGCCCTGTGGACTGTTTCGTTTCCGGCTGTGCGTCGGACGCGAAGTCTGGATTCCCCCCCCCC